AGTATTAACTGGTTTTCCTTGTAGACGTATGGATACTATCCTATCACTGACAGCACTGTACTTCAGGACAGATCTTGAAACACCCTTTGTAAGGATGAATGCCATGTCATTCCTCTTCAAATTGCCATTCCTGGCATAGTAGATCATATGGTTGTCTGATTCAAAATGGCCAAAACTGGTCCATTTCAGCTCACTAATGCCTAACATATCAATCTTCATGCATTCCATTTCATTTTTGACAACTTCCAATTTTCCTAGATTCATACTTTATACATTCCATGTTCCAATTATTAATAGATGTTTGCAGCTGTTTCTCCTCAATTTGAGTCATGCTATGTCAGCAAATGGAGGTCTCAAGACCTTTACTTTATCCATATCATTAAGGTCGGTTTTACTCTGAGGAGGCAGCTCTTTCCCAGTTGTATTTTGTGTGCCTTCTGACCTAAGGGGCTTGTCTTCCTGTACTGTATTGGACAATGTTCATAAAGTTGCCTAGTGATGCATCAGACAGTGTTTGTCTGGTATTCATAATGTTTTCCCTGGCCAATTCTTTGAGAAGTAAATGGCCTCTTCCTTCTTCCTTTGTTGTTGTTATATGCTGTTGAGTCAGACCCTAGTCATAGCAACCCCTTCTTGGGTATCTGAGGCAGTATCACTATGGAAGTAGATTGCCCCATCTTCCTTCTGATCCTTCTTCCTAGTCTGTATCAGTTTGTAAGCCATGAATTATGTACACTATGTGCACCTCTGCTCATGTTTGAAACACCAGTGGCACAGTCTCAAGCCTCACAGCAACATACAAGCCACCACAGTAGGACAAACTGACAGACAAGTTTGTCTCCCTTAGTTGTTTGGAGCCTCCCCACCCTCTCCTTACCTGGGTCCCACAGTTCCGTCTAGTCCCTGGCTTTTTCCCCCACCTCCTGCCTCTTGGGCTGGGGTGGGGCCTATCATTTCCCTCCCCTTACCTGGATCCCATAGCTCTGTCTCATCTCCAGATTCTCCCCCACCCCCGCTTCCTGCCTCTTGGGCTGGGGTGGAGCCTATTGTTTCCCTCCCTTTACATGGATCCAGCAGCTCTGTCTTGTTCCTGGCTTTTCCCCCTGCTTCCTGCCTCTTGGGCTGTGGTGGGGACTGCCATCTCCATCCCCTTACCTGGATCAGTCACTTTAAATATCCAAAATAGCAACCCTATAGGATAGAGCAGAATTGCCCCAAAGGGTTTCCAAGGCTATAAATCTTTATGAAAGTAGATTGCCACATCTTTTCTCCCTGAACAGCTGGTGGGGTTGAACTGCTGCCCTTTCAGTTATTGTCAAACACCAAGCACTTAACCACTATGCTGCCAGGGTTCCTGCACTGGCATATAACACCCCCCCCAAAAAAAAACTCACTGTTGTCTAGTTGATTCAACTCAGGCAATATCTCCATGGAAGTAGATTGCCCAATCTTCCTTCTGAGGAGTGGCTGATGGGTTTGAACTACCAGCCTTCTGGTTAGCAGTCAAATGCCTTAGGCACTATGGTAAATGTTTAATAAATATTTGTTCAGAAAAATTTTCTAGCTATGGCACAGTTTACTCCTTTAATCAAAAAATCTTTCCATTTTTTGAAATGTATTCATTTTGATTGAAATCTAGGACATCTTAGAAAATATCCTCTCTTTCAAGAAGAGAGACTATGAAACATAATGTGTTTCTTTTACTAAAGTCTCTTCTTTTACTAAAGTCATGGCTTTACTTTTACTAAAGTTATGGCTATGAACAATCTCTATGATGATGAATATGTCCTCAGAGGCTACTGAGTTAGGAAAGTTAATTTACTGTAAATGGTCCTTCCCTTTTGTAAAGAATATCTTACATATATTTATCAATTTTACAGAATATTGATATTTTGATTCATAGGAAAGAGGAGTTTACTGCTGACTGACCACAATAAAAGAACAGTCAAGCTAGTTGGGCAGCAGTAAAAAGGTCAATCCTCTACCTTCCCCACCCCCCAAAAAAAGTGGTACTAGAAAAGAAACTCCTGCCTCTGACATTCTGACATCTATGGCTACCAGGGCTCTCAGGGTGAAGCAGAATTGGGCCCAAGCATGCAGGATTTCCAAGATGCCATACCATAGTCTCAGGGGTTTCATCAGGCTCTATCAGACCATCAATCTGCTCTTTGTTGAAAGGTTGTTCAGAAAACCTAAGGGCCTGGCTGTTCCTGGAGGATCCCAGGGAAAAGTTTCTTCAGAGCATCAGTGAACTAACTGTCCACAAACTCCCAGGGAAGCTCTGGCAGGAAGGGGAGAAAACCCATCTTGCTTCACCTTTCCCATAGATTCTAACCAACAAGGACCACTCTTTGGATGCTTAGATTCTAGGAAGTATATGAGAGCTTAGAATAAGAGATACATGGTGTGTGTAAATAGAGCAGTCTGAAAGCAGAAGAAGCTTAACTCTATTTTAAAGTCTTAACATGAGTCTAGAATCAATGTTGAATTTTAAAGTTGCCTTTTCTAGCAGCAGTCCCTCTAACCTTGATGCTGACCATATTCCCTAAAGGACACACTCTTTTTCTTTGAGGTCTAGCAGGTGTTGATTATCACAATCTATTTCCAGAGGGTCTTTTCATTATGGTCAAACAGATGCAAGATGGTGTGTCTCATACCTGAGGGATCTTGATGCACAGCATTATCAATAAATCTTTACATTGGATCACCAGAAACAGATATGATTGAGGAAGCAATTTTACTAAACAGGTTGCCAGAAAAAAAAAAAAAAAAATCTGTTGTGACTATCCTGTAACGAATCGAAGGGTGTATTCCCTTAACCAATCATCTAATCCCACTTATGTTACTCATCTATCCCTGCTAAATCCCCACTTTCAGATATCCTGCCTTTGTCTCCTCTGATTATCCTTGAACCAATTATGATTTGTTAACTTTTAAATTCTTGTTATATACATAACTTCATAAAAATGTATTTTTCCCAAACTGTCCGGTGCAGCAGCCATCTTTACTCTGTGAATTTGGGCATCTTCCTGGTCAAGGCTGTCTTTGCCAAACAAACTCACTGCTGTGGAGTCGGATCCTACTCATAGATACTCCTCCTTGGGTTTCTGAGACAGTATAGCTACGGCCTCTTTATCCTTCGATAAACTTCTTTTGCTTTAACTTAAGCAGACTCTGGGATGTTGCTATATGACAGAAGTAAATGCTACATTTCCTTAAAGTAAAATATCCCAATTCAGAATGGGCCCTAATATTTGCACTTTAGTGGAATTTCTCCACACCATTAACTTAAAGGTGGTTAAGGGGAAGCTAACCACATCAGACTAAGATGGGCTAGGAAGAAAGACTTGGCAATTTACTTCTGAGAGCCAGCTAATGAAAACCCTGTGGACCACATAGTCTGATCTGCAAGCAATCTTGGAGATAGCAAGACTTGGCAGCCTTTTGTTCCATTGTGCATAGGGTTGCCATGAGTCAGGGGCTAGCTCCATGGCAGCTAACAACAATCATAGCTACCATATGTCACCATTCTTCACTGGTACCCATAGTTGGCTATGGGCAGCATTAAATAAACAAAGAGTAATGAGATCATTTTTATTTTGGCTGAAGAACAGATGTTAGCTCAACTCTGGATCCAAACAGTTGCCAGTTTAGCTTCTTACCTATTTCATTCCATCCAAGAGCATTACCTTCAGAAATTTTATCTGAACAAATAATAATTCTTTAGTGTACAGGTCAGGGATGAGTAAAAATATACTCTATGTTTTATATAACAACAACATATTTTTATATTTTGGCTACAGACAAAAGGCCATAGCAAAAACACATGTATTTGAGCAGTTGTGGTGTTCACCAATCTATTCTGTGCTGCTTGGTGGCAGTATAGAAAAGTCTTCCCCTAACTGTTTTTGAGTTAAAGCATTAAGAAATTCCTCGAAGTGCAAATATAAGGATAAACCCACCCACCCACTGCTGTCGAGTCAGATCTGGCTCATAGCGACCACTCCTTGGGTTTTTGAGGCAGTATCACTATGGAAGTAGATTGCCCAACTTTCCTCCTGAGGAGTGGCTGGTGGATTTGAACTGCCAGTCTTATGGTTAGCTGTCAAATGCCTTAGGTACTATGCCACCAGGGCACCCAAATATGAGGATATACCCTGATTTTTATCCCCAGCTTAAAAAGAGGTTCTGAGTATGTTCTGCCCACTTAATGGAACAAAGAGAGGATGTTTAGGAATCCACATTTTAATGGTGGGTGCGGAGGACACTTATCTGGTCATTTCTATGGAAACTAAAATACAGTCTGACTAATGTACACAAAGATATACCAAAGAAGCTCACTATAGTGTTGTTTATAATAGCTAAATGTTAGTAACTACCTAAATGCCCCCAGAATAAAGATCCCATTAATAAATTATGCCGTATCTATAAATTGGGATTCTATGAAGCTATTACAATGCAGAAGATTAGTTAAGGATTAACATGGAAAGACAGTCAGAGTATATCACTAAATGTTAAAAACAGGTCATAAAACGGTCTATAAAGTATGATTCAGACTTTGTGAATACACACACACACACACACACAAACATCACAACATATACATACACACAGACACATGTTTTTCTCCTAACTGCCAAGGAAAAAGACTAGAAGTATATACCACAACATGCTTTACAGTTATTGACATAGTAGGGTTAGAGTGCTTATTATAATTTTTTTAATATATATATATTTAGTGTATTTTCCAAAATATCTCTAATAAACATATTTTGCAAGCAGATTTTTTTTTAAAACAGAAGTTTTTCTATTTTCTTTATTCTAAGACTTTCCAAAAGTGAGACATAGTTTACAATCAATATTTTATACTTAATATTGTACATTCATCTAATGTAGTGTTTCCTTTTTCATCCCAAAATGCTGTGCAAAATCAACAATATCTAACTGAGAAAATGTGGGATTTAAAATGAAGTAACATAGCAAAAGTAAAGTAGTCTTACTGCCTTGGGCTGTGTCAGAGATGGTAGGCTTAATGACTCTGCTTGCATCCTCATGAAGGGCTCCAAACCAGTCTTTCAGCCGGGAAGCCAGGTTCCTCAACTCCTTGTCTGTGCAGGCTGGAGAAAAGCAAATGGAAGAAACAATTAGCCCGTGGGTTTCTCCCCCGTTAGCTCCTTGCCCACAATGTACTTTCATTGACAAAGCCATAATCAAAACAAACTTCTTCCTGCATCCATAAATCACCCCTCACTCTGAAAACACCCCAAAGGATGTTGCTGTCACAGGTAGAGTATGACAAAGGGAGAGCCTAGATTCCCAGGGCAATCATCAGTGTTCAGAACTTGCATTTGGACTGCTTCCGAGCTACTAAAGCTAACCGTAATGGCCTTACAGTTGGGCAGCATTCTTCAAAGATGTTCACACATCCTTTTTTTTTAAACTGGATAGAACTTGTTATTGTTGCATGCTATCAAGTTGATTTCAACTCATAGTGATCCCATAGGACAGAGTAGAACTGCCCTATAGAGTTTCCAAGGCTGTAATCTTTTTATTTTTTTTAATTTTTATTGTGATTTGAGTGACAGTTTACAGAGCAAATTCACTTTCCATACAGCAGTTCATATACACTTTGTCTCATGACATTGACTACAATTTACCACAATGCAACAGCTCCCCTCCCACTTCCTCCCTATAGGTACCTCTTCCCTGTGTCCTTCCCTCTCATGCACTCCTGCCCTCTGAGCTGTCTTCCTGTGGATACACAGACCTTCTATTCTCCCATGATTGATCTCTCCAAGGAGTGTATCTACCTAATGTAAATGTTCAGCTCATATGCCTGTCTTTTGTTTGGGTGGAAGCCACAGGGGTGGGTTCAGTTCCAGACCTGAAGGGCAACGAGAGGCCATAGTCTCAGTGGTTCCATCAGGCTCTATCAGACCAGCAAACCTGGTCTTTTTTTTTTTTTAATTTTGAGTTTTGTTCTCCATTGTTCTACCACTCTATCCAGGATTTCCTACAGAAATCCCCTTTTGAGGGGTTGACAGTGGTAGCCAGGGACCCTCTAGCTCTTCTGGTCTCATAGCTGTATAGGCTGAGGATCACATGGTATAGCAGTCATTTGGATTACTTGTTTCCATGTGTTTGGTTTTCTTCATTCTTCTCTGCTCTGGATGAGGACAGACCCATCATTGCTTCTAGATGGCCGCTTGCAAACTTTTAAGATCCCAGTTGCTACTTACCAAAGTAGGATGTGGAACAATGTTTTTGTGCAGTATGTTATGCCAAGTGAGCTTGATGTCTCCTACAACTATGGTCCCAAGCCCACAGTTCCAACTATTTGCTCCCTCTGGATAGCTGGCTGTGGCCAAGACTCAAGCTGTAATCTTTATGGAAGCAGATTGTCATATCTTGCCTCTGCAGAGCAGCTGGTGGGTTCAAACTGCCAACCTTTTGGTTAGCAGCTGAGAACTTAACAATCGTGCCATTTTTTTACTAAAACAAGGTGTAATGACCTCACAGTTGGTTGTTGTTGTGTGCCGTCGAGTCGGACCCAACTCATAGCGACCCCTCCTTGGTTTCCGAGGCAGTGTCACTTGCCCCATCTTCCTTCCGAGGAGTGGCTGGTGGGTTTGAACTGCCAGCCTTCTGGTTAGCAGTCAAGTTCTTAGGCACTATGCTACCAGAGCTCCTTCACAGTTGGTTAACTTCCTCCAAAGGTGGTCACGGATCTTTTCATTAACCAGATAAAACTTGCTACTGCAGTTTTGCCAGAGAAGGTCACATTTTCTATTAAACTCAGACCAAGAGATTAACACCAGGAATAGTTAATGCTTTTAGGCAGAGGCTGCCGAGGACACCAAAAGATTCCAGTAATAGAAGGTGCTCAATTCTATTTTATCTCAACATTTAGATTTGTGGACTTGGCCTATTTGGCTGCCCTCTCTACAGATTCATTCTTGACTTTCCACATGCTAATTCTTGGTACTGAGGATCCTGGCAAAGGGCTCAGGCAGTATGCTGTTACCAAGATGCAGTAAAACCAGCAATGCATTTGGTGCCTTTTAACATCTGGCGAAGAACACTAAAGGTACGATGGGCTGCCAGAAGAACAAACAAATCTATCCTGGAAGAAATGTACCTGGAATGCTCCTTGTAAGCAAAAATGACCAGACTTTGTCTTATCAACTTTTTTCATGTTGTCAGAAGGGACCATTCCCTGGAGAAGAATATCATACTTGGTAAAGCAGAGGGTCAGCAAAAAAAGAGGAAGACCCTCAACAAGATGGACTGATGCAGTGGGACTGTGAGGATGATGCATAAATGGGCAGTATATAGGGTTACTAGTTGAGTTGGTGGCACCTAATGACAACCACATCTAAAAGGACAGAAATTTAAGACCTGAGCAGTCAAAATCCCAATGAGTAAGAAGGGACAAAGAACTGAATCCTGCAACTGCCACTTTCTCCAGCTTCTCTAAAGCTGCAGGAGGCTATAAGCCAGCAAGACCAAAAAACCAAATCAAAATCACTGCCATCGAGTTGGATCCAACTAATATTGACCCCTCCTTGGGTTTCAAGGGTGGTATCACTATGGAAGTAGATTGCCCAATCTTCCTTCTGAGGAGTGGCTAGTGGGCCAGCAAAACACCCTAAATGCACAGCTGAGTTCTGACTGTCTTGTGGTGCTGAGAAGGCACAGATCAGAATTCCAAACCTGCCATCTTTGATGGGTCCCAGTAGACACCACAGCGCTCCCCTGAAGCCCTATGATCCAGGATGAAGAGAAAGAGTCTCATGGCTGCTGCCTTTATTTCAGGCCAGTACCCAGATTCAACTCTGCAAAGCATCAAGAAGATGTGCATCCATTGTTCATACCCAAGTTGTTAATGACCTCAAGACACCCTTGCTTTTAACAACTGGGGCATGAATGAATTTTAAAACACCAGCCAGGAAATAGCATAGAGAAATGTCTTGATAGGCAGCAGAGTATACCAGCTGCCTGAAGTTGAGTCTAGTTTTACTTCTTACTGGCTGGGTGAACTCAAACAAGTCACTTAACCTCTAAAAGCCTCAGTTTTCTCACCTGTAAACTCAGCATATATGACATAAATCAGACAATGTGTGCAAAGTGCTTCACAAAGTTCATGGTATACAGAAAGGTCTCAGTATGTGCTAGCTATGATTTTTATTACATTATTATTATTGCTTTATGCATGTCTAGAGTTTTTGGATTGAAGATTTATAGGTAAACATGGGGCAAACATCACAGAAAGCCAGTAAGACAAATGCATCCAAACAAAACTGGTTTTGGTATCACAGGAAATAGGTGAAAATGGATATTTGTGTTGTCCAATACCATTATCTCTGGCCATATGTGGCTATTTAAATTAAACTAAATAAACTTTAAAATTTAATTCCTCAATCATACTACCCACATTTCAAGTGCTTAATAGTCACAAATGGCTAGCAGTTTCCAAAACAGATAGAGAGATATAGAATATTGCCATCATAACTGAACAACTTTCTGGAGGTTCATAAGGATGTCCTGACATTCAAGGCTGTGATTTTATCCTTTCCTATAGTCTTTAAAGATGGGCTGAGAAAGAAGTCAATAAGCCACCCAGCCCCCTCAAGCCAGGAACCAGAACTCATGGCTAGCCATGCCCCCAACCAGGAGGGGGAGTAGTTGTTGCAGAAGGCTGAGAGTCATGGCCTTTGCAGTCCTTAGGAACAGGTCCACACTAACATGCTGTCTCAGTTTCCAAGTGTTACTATAACAGAAATACCATAAGTAGGTGACTTAAAAGAACAGAAATTTATTTTCTCACAGTTTAGAAGGCTGGAAGTCTAAATTCAATGTGCTGGCTCTATAGGAAGGATTTCTTTCTCTGTCAACTTTGGGGGAAGGTCCTGTCTCTTTTTAGTTTCCGTTCCTTGGTTCTTTGGTGATCTTCATGTACTTATCTTCCCCTCCATTTGTGCTTCCTTTTCTGTGCCTGATCTGTTCTTTTTACATTTCAGGAGTGAATGGTTTAAGACACATCCTACAAAGATAGTGTCTCACTGACATAATGAAGAAAGGCCTATTCCCAAAGGGGATTACATCCACAGGTAGGGGTTTAGGATTTATAACATGCATATTTGAGGGACACAATTCAATTCATAAATCCTATATATTGGCTCCAACCCAGAGTGTCTTGGTGGTGGTGGGGACATTCCTGACAGACACTGTACAGGTCTAAGTAGGAGAGGACATGGTCTATTTTTCTGAGGTGAATGGGATGTGGGCTGTATAGTCAATCTTATATTTGAAAATGGAAAATTAATAACATATATTTCCTCTCTATTGCCATGCATACCATCTATTCTAAATGTTTTCTGAGCAGAGAAAATTGCCAAGTCAACTTGCAAAGGAAATGAATCCCCATCTCATACTGCAGGATAAATCAGTCAGTCATGTTTTACTAAACCCTGACAGATGTGTAGGTAAGCTGTATCTTTAGAAGACTGCTGAATTTCTCACAGGCTTCCCAAAGGACACAGGCTTTGGATGCCTGATGGAATCAAACCCTGGAATATTGAAAGTGTGTCTATCACTCAGAGATAGGTTCACAAGCAAGGAATCACTGGCATGGATGGAGAGAGATCAGAGAGCCAAAATGGAGAATAACTCAAACCAAACTCACTGCCATTGAGTTGATCCCCACTCATAGTTACTCCCATTGGGTTTTCAAGGATGTAAATCTTTATGGAAGCAGCCTGTCTCATCTTTCTGATGCAGAGCAGCTGGTGGGTTTGAACCAATGACCTTTTGGTTAGCAGCCAAATGCTTTAACCACACCACCACCAGAGTTCCTTGAAATGTAGAGAGGAAACACTTAATTACTGGGACTTTTTCACTCATTGGGAGCTTTGGTAGCATAGTGCCTAAGGCATTTGATTGCTAACCAGAAGGCTGGTGGTTCAAACCCACCAGCCAATCCTTGGGAGGAAGAATGGGCAATCTACTTCCATAGAGATACCTCCTTGGAAACCCAAGGAGGGGTCACTATGAGTCAGATCCCACTCGACGGCAGTCTATTTATTTATGTTTGGTTTTGTTCACTCATTGTGTTCTC